ATTATCCTGGCTTCTATATGCCCCTCTCCACATTCATTTATTTTTCAGCAACACAATGCTGCTGCCTTGACTCCTAAAAGAGCCTGGCCACATACCGTGTGTAAGGAAAGGGCTGTTGGGAGATGTGGTACTGAGGGCATGCATATGCCAAAAGGAACTGGACTGCAAACAGCTGCCCCTGCAAGAACTTTAGTATGTATTGACATCTTTCATTTGGAGAGATTTTTTTGCATTGTTTTAAGTGACAGAGTTGCTTTAACACACGCTGATAAACTAATCTCACGAGATGATTGTGTGATTATGTGTGAACGTTTATATCAGAAGTTTCTCTTTTATGAGATGGAAAAATTTGCTAACATAATAAACCACAAGTCACACCGCCACCGTCAATGCACCTCTGTAAAGTGTGGTCCTAACTCTATTTATATGAGTCTCCAAGTGGGAGCATATTAATGCAGTCGATAAATTAAATGCAGGTGTACCAGGAGGTAGCCTACTCTTCCTCACAAGGTGCAGGGACGCACTGGAGATCGAGCAACCAAAAACGCATGCTGGGACCCCCATTGTGTCCCCACATCCAAAATAGTCAAACCAGAAAAAGATGGTAACTGCATACATTTATAACCAGCCCTTGTAGCAGTGTGCACATGGGAAGCCTTCCCTGCTACCTGAGAGAGAGAGAGGGCGAGAGAGATTATAAGATAGAGAGAGAGAGATAATTAGATAGATAGATAAGACAGAGATTTTATATCTTAAAATAAAAACGTTAAAAGGACGGCAACATAACTTTGAGAAGACAAATTGCTAGTGCTGATATAAGAAACCATAGGATAGATACAACGGAATATTCCCTTTTATAAAAAATATCATAAGATAGATAGATAGATAGATAGATAGATAGATAGATAGATAGATAGAATATATCATAGATAGAAGAGAACAGTTTCTATAATATAGTTTTAATAGCCGCATACTACACACATACAGCTTCATCTATGGCTGACCTAGATCTATACTGTCTCACTTCTCATTTTCCTTACTTCCTTACGACATGATCTATTCTAGTGGGACTAACAAACATGAAACAGATTCTCACATAAATCATATGGCTAATGGCAAATCAATGAAAGGCGTGCCTGAGCAAGTATGACCCTTCAGTATTACTTGCCCAGCCTGCAGAAAACTCGGCTCGCCTCGCACATTGACATAACATGTATAATTGCTACACAAGCTATTCTGTGTTATTTTTATGTCTTGTTACACACGAGGCTGATAATATGAATACAGGAAGCAGAACCTCATTTATCATGTCCTATTTGTGGGAGCTATATGAGTGCACTGGAATGGCCAATGTTAATATTTACAGGACAGAAGCGGGTGAGGATTTAAATGACAGCTCCCATAGATCATTGCTATGTATATGATTCTAATATCTAGGATGGTATTTTATGCCATTGCACATAGCATAGCACAGGCTATAAAAAAACAAAATCATTACAGTGCTCCTTCTCTCACACTTCCCTCTTTAAGATGGTCCCGCTGCTAAGGCATGAGTCATTTCCAGACAATAAGGCGCACCAGAAGAGGGCATGTGAGGCCTCTTTGAGAATATCAGAACCATTAATGGTTTTTTTCTTTGGGGAACAAAGGGTAAAGTTCACCTAAATAATCACCAGCAAATTCCACCATTGCCTGCAATGAAAACCAAATATCACAGCCACATTCTCAAAGAGAACCTGTCAGTAGTAGGCTTTCCTAGGAATCCAAATTTCCACTATAATAGTGGAGTGATCTCCTGCCTGACAGTGCAGGTATAGTATCGGCAGTAAAGGAGGCAGAGACATGATGTGGTGTGGGAAGTTAACCTCCAGTAAGGGAACCTTACCCAATGCTGGGAAAGAGGGTAGGGTTTAACTCAATGGCCACCACTTATGTGGAAGTGTGGGGACTGAACCCTACTGACCAACAATGTCAAGGAAGGGGCAATTTAAATCCCACTGACCCCCAATGCTGCAAAGGTAAGGGACTTCAACCACACTGTCCACCAATATTGAATGGGGATTGTACACCAATGCTGAGGGGGGGAATTCATACCCCACTGGCTACCAGTGTTGGGGGGATTGTACCCCATTCATCACCAATCCTTGAGAGCAAGGGGGATTGTTCCTCACTGACACCAACCCATTCTTCCAGCGCAGGTGGCTTTTTCCTCCCACTGATGGTGGGTCATGTTTTCCTCTTACTGAACACCAACATTAGGGCTTACTTCCTTCCAATGACTGCCAATGTTGGGGCATTTATTTACTCCCACCATCCTGGCCTGACCACTGACATGAGGATATTCTCCCTCCCCATATGCATCAACATTGGGACATTCTTTCCTCCAACTAACCAGCAATGTAAGGGTGCTAGAGAGATAAATAGGAGAACCAGTGCCCCTTTTAAGCCATTGTAGCCACGTTCATTTTTCCCTACGGCACATGCAATGCACCATATGTCTTCTCCACACCAAGGTGTCCTTCTTTCTCAAGTTCCGAAGTTGGGAGGCATGCAGGTGTGAGTGACTGAAATCAGTGCACCCCCAATCGGCCTTCAATAGAGTCCTGTTTCTTAAAATAAACCTGTCATTGCCCTAACGGTACTGAATAGGCCCCAGCACGAGCAGTGCAAGTACCAAGTGGTCCCAGGTGCTCAGGGGTGCTGTAAGAGGCAAGATGTGACACCTCCTGGTATTGCTGATACTGCTCCCTCTTGCAAGTTACCTTTGGTTATCATAGGAATACTTTAAAACCAATGTGATGCAACATTTAAAAAAAAAAAATGGAAGCCTGTAAAGAAAACGTTTATACCTGTTCTGCCACCTGTCTTCATGCTCTTAAAGAGCTAAGACTGCTGTTGAATCTTCTGCGTCTATCACACTTCTGAGATGCCAGATCCCTTGCTGTGCACTGTGGTACCAACCGCCACCCCCTATATCACTGCTGATTCCTGTAGTAACGTACAGGCTGGTGGATGGAACCACAGAACACAATAACAACTCAAACAATGCACCTATTAAAAATGCACAATAGTTTCTAGAAGTTCCATAACATCCTCCATGCCCTGTAGTGATGTAGAGGCTGCTGGATGGAGCCAGAGAGCACATACTTCACAATAACAACTCAGTGAGCCCATTGAAAATCTACAATAGTTTCTAGAAGTTCCATAACATCCTCCTCGTCCTGTAGTGACATAGAGGCTGGTGGATGGAACCACGGAGCACAGACTTTATAATAGACATGTGCAATTCGTTTCGTTACGAATCGAAATTCGTACGAATTTTCCTGAAATTCCGAATTTCGGAGCATCCGAAATCCGAATGGCAGTTTCCGAATTATATCCGAAATACGAAATTCCGTTAACGAATTTCGGATCCGAATTTCTTTGAAACGGGAACTAATATTACCCCTGTAAATGAGGTTGAACAGCATGACAAGATTTTTTTTTAATCCGAGATACGGATCTGCTGCTGCTGATGCATTACAATACACAGTTACACACACAGGCAGTAAATACGAAATTCCGTTGACGTATTTTCGTTCCGTTACGAACATTCGTTATATTGAAGGTAAAAAGCAAAGTACATTTATATTGGAGTTGATGGTAGTTTTTTTTAAAGTCCGAAATACGGAATTCGGAATACGGAATCCGTTAACGGAATTCGTATTTCGGATAAAAAAACAACTACCACTCCAATATTAACAAAGGTATTTTGCTTTTTAACTTCATCATAACGAATGTTCGTAAAGTTACGAAAATATAACCGCCACTAACGAAAATTCGTATTTCGTACGAATCTGAATCCGAATTGAGTTCAGTTACGAATTACGAAATACGAAATAACGGATATTCCGAAACGAAACGAAACAGAATTAATTTTTTGACGGCGCACAAGTCTACTTTATAATAATAATTCAAACAATGAAACGCCAATTGAAATGCACAGTAGTTTCTAGCTAATCCATAATGTCCTCTTTGACCAGTAGTGACAGATGGAACCATAGAGCACAGACTTTACAATAGTAACTCAAACAATGCGCCCATTGAAAGCACATAATAAGTTCTAGAAGTTCCATTACGTCCTCCACATCCTGTAGTGACATAGAGGCTGATGGATGAAACCACGAAGCACAGGCTTTATAGTAACAACTGAAACAATGCACCCACTGAAAATGCATAATAGATTCTAGAAGTTCCATACATCCTCCATGTCCTGTAGTGACATAGAGGCTGGAAGATGGAACAATGGAGCACTGACTTTATAATAACAACTCAAACAATGCGCCCATTGAAATGCACAATAGTTTCTAGAAGTTCCACAACATCCTCTACATCCCATAGTGACCTAGAGGCTGCTGTATGGAACCACGGAGCACAGACTTTGTAATAGCAACTGGAACAATGCACCCATTGAAATGCACAATCGTTTCTAAAAGTTCCATAATGTCCTCTTCATCCTGCAGTGATGTAAAGGCTGGGGGATGAAACCACGGAGCACAGACTTTACAATAACAACTCGAACAATGCACCCATTGAAAAGGCACAA